TATTCTAAACATGATTATCAATGTTTTGTTAATTAATAATATTATCATACTTTTTGTTAGCGTATGGTATTCACACTCAAACATGGGCCCACTCAAAACTTTCAAAATGTACATTTTTACGACCTTACCCAGTAGTAATACCTCAATGTAAAATATAAGACGACCTCCTCATTTGTTAAACTTGGTAATAGAAAAAAACTGAAGAGTTGTAACAATATACTTGAATTTATTGATGGGAAAACCCGATCGGCAATTAAATTTCCTACCTATTTTATCAGACATTAGATTAGATTTCAAATGACTACATACATAAAACTATATTGCACGCATATTTTGATAATAATACAAAGGGAAGATTTATCGTAATCTGATATCGCAAAATAAAGAGGGTAGGTTACCTACAGAAGGTTGGTTTCAAGCAAAACACGATCCTCGTAGGTCAGTGGAATACGGAAGTGCTTGTAAAAATGTAAAAAAAAACTTAGTTGAAATTTACTTCACTATCCAAGTATCTATTTACATACCTATAAGTAATTGCCTTTTGTAATCAAAATATTTTAAGTTGTAATAACACAAAACACTGAAATTAAAAATTTTTTTACTAACAAGATTTTTAACCAAGTAGATTACGATCGCATTTCTGTTAGGAATCTTATTTCAGGTCTATTTGTTGTTTACATCATCTACCTATTTTTTCTGAACCAAGCATCGCTATTCTCGACGAAGCCTTGCAGGTGGGAACTCACATAGGTGCGAAAATATGGTCAGTCGTTCATAGTCAGAATACGTACTTAACCTTAGTAACTAAATTACCATTTTGCAATGTATTTTCTTCCCACTTCACTTAGTAACAACGGAAATTTCAACAGATGTTGCATGCGCTCAAATAAATTTTTTGTGTTGGTTTTTCAATATAAAATAGATTAAAGTATTTCTTTGTGAACGTAAATGATACATACATTAGTAATAAATATTACTTATTACCTACTTTGACATAATACATGTAAGTATCCCACTCATTTTAACATCTTGCGAAGGTAAATAAATTACATGTCACGTTGTTTGTCCGCGATGGACTTCTAAACCACTTAACCAATTTTAATCAAATTTGCACACCGTGTGCAGTTTGGCCCAACTTGAGAGATAGGATAGCTTTTTTGCCCATGAGTGACCCATAATTTTTTTTGCGAATTTAAGGATTTTAGTAGGACATGACAAAGGGTCGTCGAAAAGGGCAGAACAACGTCTGCCTGACAAGCTAGTCTACGTATAAAAAGCGCGCTCCGCGTCGTGTTTGGACATGAATTGACCCTAAAACTCTTTGTTATTGATACTGTATTGTTATTGATACAAGCTGGCGTAACGCTTAACACCTTTCTATAAGTGGTAGAGTCATGTTGCAGCTGTATTATGTTTGTGGCATGAATGGGTCGGCTCGACTGGGGAAGGACCACGCTCTTACACAATACCAGCATAAAGTAGTAGCTCAAATGCTGCTGTGTTTCTTATGGTGAGTGTACAGAATTGGAGTCTTAGTCCTCAGAGGTGACAATGCATTTTGATTCTTAATCGAAGGTAGATGTAGATGTCTCTGCCACAGCATCCACTTACCATCAGGTGGGCTGTGTGCTCGCTTGTCACTCTTATTCTTAAAAAATATATAGCTTCCTAATCTTTTTTCCTGTCACTTGATTGTATATAAATACGACTTTTAATTGCACAGGTTGCAAATTAAAATTAAAGCGTCACAGTAGAGCACAGATTTAAGTTTCTATGGCTAATAAGGAAAATATCCAAGAAAATAATATCAAAAACCCAATTGAATCTACAAAGTCTTATTGCAATTTTAGTTCCAATACGCTATTGCAAGAGCTACAATCCAATAATACTATGACACAGTTTGATAACATATCTTTTTTGATGGAACAATCCAGTTCATAAAAAATTACAAAATCTGATTTTGTTCCCTGATTGCATTCCCTGGAACTTCAACTGATGAGACTTTCGTGACAGAACCAGTCAGTACATTCTCAAAAACTGCATGTGATAACACATTCCTGATTAAGCAACCAGAAATAATAGCAGTAGCCTTAAGGGGATATAGTACGTTAGCTCAAATTCTAATTTCGCCCCCACTTCCCCGCACGTCGTATGCTATGTACCGACATGTTTGTAATCACTAATACTGTAAGTAGATAGGTAGTTAGATACTTATTTCTTTAGGTTTATCATATTTATGCCTGTTTCTTAACGCCAATCCAGTCACTTCTTATTTTTATTACGATTATTTCCCATTTTAATTTTACGTCGTCCTGTTGCGTAATGTGTATTCTGATCGTAAGCGACACAACCTCCCCCTTCAAAGGCCGAAGCGAAACTGACCGGGCGGCAGGACCAGGAATCAAACTTCAAGCTTCAAGAGGTTTAGGTAATTTCTTTTTTACAGTGAAAATAATGGTATTTAAAAAAAAGTAAGTAACATAAGCACTGCTTTATAGTTAGTTCAGTTAGTATGCAAAGTTTCCTGATCTTACTTAAAGTGTTTATTGTTCTAGCCATCAAAAAAATCGGCCCACCTGCATTTTTGCCCCAAATCACGTTTTTCTAAAGCAGAACCAATCAAAACGTTTAAGTACTGAAATGTTTTATCTAACTTGTTTATTTACGCCAATTTAATCACAGTTACAACATCAAAATGATTTTTTGAAAGTAATTTTCATTTAAAAACCAAAATCTTTAATTTTTCACGATTACTTTTATTAATTTTCAATACGCTCTAGTTTTTATGCATTGAATTTTATGTACACAATTGTTGCAATTTAATATTGCGTATTCCCTCCTCTTACTCGAATGACAGCCTGCATTCGCCGTTTTAATGACCTTATCAAGATTTTTATGGTCTCTTGAGGGATTCGGTTCCATTCTTCCCTAATGGCGGTTTCAAGGTCTCCTAATGTTGTAGGGACTGGATTACGGGCTCTAACCTTTTGTTTTAGGGTGTCTCAAATGTCCTCTATAGGTTTGAGATCAGGGCTTCTTGCTGGCCACGACCCACGACATAACCCGAATGCCGACCTCTTCAAGGTAATCGGTTGTGATGCGCGCTACGTGTGGTCGCTGGTCGTGCATTATCATGCGTTAATTCAAAGGTCTCTCCAATATAGCCGGCGTATGGCACCACATGGTCTTCTAAGATCTCTGTGATGTAGCGTGCTGCAGTTAAAGCACCTCTTCGTATGAAAACCAGCTCAGTGCGTCCAGTCAAAGATATCATTACAGAGCCTCCACCATAACTGACAGTTTTTCTTATGCACCACTGGGTATAACGTTCACCTGGTCGTCGCATGACATTACGGCGTCCGTCAGAACCGTATAAAGTCATTCGACTCTCATCACTGAAAAGAACTGACTCCCATTGGCCTATAGTCCAGTTGATGTGGTTACGCGCAAATTGAAGTCTGGCTTGTCGATGAACTGTGGTCAATTGTGGTATTGTTGCTGGCTTGTGAGGTCTTAAATTCTGCTCACGAAGTCTCTTCTCACAGTACTATCACTTATAGCTACACCTCGATCTTCACGTGAGCGTCGCTGGAGATCAACACCAGATAGGTGCCGATTTCTTAGAGCGATAACACTTATGTAGAGTTTACTATGTCTTCGAAGTACCTTGGTAAACTCGTCGCACTGCAGAACGGCTCAGATTTGACCTCCTGGCCACGACACGTTGACTTAAGCCTTGTTGCAGCAAAGCCACAACTTGGGCCGCCTCAGCTTCAGTAGTGTCATTATTTTTAGACAAAGTAATCAAAGCTACAGCCTCAGTAAATAAACATAACGTTATTAACTAGAAATCCCTACAAAAGTCTGTGTCGGACTGAAATAATGGTTCGAATTTGTTCTGATGTAAAATAACGAAATCAGCACTCAGCAGTATTTCTGTATAAAAAATTGTAAAGTACCTTCAAGTGCAGTAGGATTTATGACAAACAAGGTGTCAAACATCATATCCGACCCTCTAAAAAACAAATGTGTGAAACAGCTTTTAAGTGAAACAATCGATAAATTTCAACCAAAAAATGGGTGGGTTGATTTTTTTGATGACCAGTATATTTTTGGTCTCCGTCATCTTGAGAAACCAAAAAAGCCGTAAAGTAACTAAATATGGTACATCGCCACGAACATATACTGGTATTGACTAGTGTTTGCCAAGAGAAGATGGTATAAAAGTGAGAGTTTGCAGAGATATGTTTTTGGCTACTTTGGATACTTATAACAAAAGATATATTTACTGAATGGACCAAGGCTAAAATATGTAACACTGATAACTCGACAGAAAGTGTAAGACCTATCATTAGCACCTAAATTACTGAGCCATACGTTAAAATATTAACGTCAAACTGTTATACAATGGCTGAATCAATTAGCTAAAGTACCCTGGCATTATTGCCGCTCGTCTACATCAAGGACATACGTCGATGATGCATTGCATTCGAAAACTCAAATGCACAAGTAATACGTTACTTGGTGTGAATCAAATTCTATGCAATTTGTCCAGTGAAAGATATTTTGCGATATTTTAGAAAAACAGAAAATATCAATTTACAAGCCACGAAAAGACCAGTGCGATACTTGTGTTTCTTTTAAAAGAAGAAAACTTGGACGAAAAAACTTACCAAGAGCACTTGTTAAGGAAAAATGAGGCTCCAGAAGCCAAGAAACGTTCCATAGCTTCATTTTCTGAGGAACATTTTTGGTTTTCACTATGGATTTACAAAGTGTCCAGTTGTGTCCAAAGTTGTTAATAATCGTCTCAATATTACAAACAGAAACTTCAGCTTCAGATTTTTACAATCTATATCAATAACACTAAAGATGTACATGTGTTTGCTTGGTATGGAGGTGATGGTGGTGTTACTACTGCCAATGAATTTGTTGCATGCATTGTAACTTTTATAGAACTTTATGCTACAAAAGGCTATAAAAAATCAGTGCAATATCTGATGGTTGCGGCTATCAAAACCGTAATAAAAATTTTGTCTAGTGCATTGGCAGACGTTTCAAAGCTGAAGCCGATTGAAATTCAACAAGTATTCTTGGAGAAGGGTCACACGATGATGGAGGTGAATAGTGTATATTCAACTCTGGAAAAATGTTTTACCCCACCATTGTACTTACCGGCAGATTATGCGATTAGCATGCGTAAGGCGCGACCGAGTCAACCATATATTATCAGACATGTGGACTATAAGTTTTTAAGAACTATGAAGCAATACCTAGCAATTTCACATCGATACGTCCCGGAGAAAAAGCAGGAGATCCCACTGTGGCCGAAATTAGATCACTGTTGTACAAGAACGGTGAAACTTTCTACAAAATGTGGCATGATGCAATGGAATGGACCCTTTTACCGCAGAGGACGAAGACTTTTGTACGAGGAAGCCCAGTGTTTGTATATTGCTCCGAGAAAAGTTGAAAAGAGCAAATTTGACAGTTTACAGTCATTGAAACTTTAATGCACCGTGATTACCATGCTTTTTACGACAATCTTTCTTCTTAGATTAATTCACTGACATTAAAAATTTGAACCAAATAGATTACGATCAAATTTCTGTTCGGAATCGTATTCCAGGTCTATTTGTTGTTTACCAAATCTAAAAAAAAAAATTCGGAACCAAGCATCGCGATTCCCGACGAATGGCCTTGCAGGTTGCATGCGTTGGACATCACAAAACTCACATAGGTGCGACCATATTGGTCATTCGATCATAGAACTCAGAATACATACTTTACCTAAGTAATTAAATTACCATTTCGCAATGTATTTTCCCACATTCTATGTAGCCACGGAAATTTCGCCGTTACGTTGGAAGGGGAAAAGCTGCAAAAAAAGTTTTATTTAGCTTAGTAAAGTTATAGCGTATGTACGTCCCACTGCTGGGCACAGGCCTCTCCTCATTTCTGAGAGGGTTTTAGGGCAAGGAAGTGTCCGCCGCGCTGTCCCAAGCGTGTTGGCGAACTTCACATGTCTTCGAAATATTTTTTTCTTATTCCTCAGACATGCAGGTTTCCTCACGACGGTTTCCTTCAGCCACCGTGCCGGCAGGGATTGAACCCGGGCTACTTGCGTTCTGTTATACTTACAGCAAGCGTTAACCATCTGCGGCTTTATTTATCTTGCGTGTGTGAATTATCTAATTATAAATAATAATTAAATTGTATACTTGGGGAGTGCTTTCAGCCGGGATGGAAGATGTGATTTAGATGTGGATAGGCGTGTCGCTGCCGGAAACAAAGTCAATGGTGCCCTGAATGCATTAGTAAAAAGGCAAGGCGTGGTGAATAGTGCACGCCTTGCAATACATAACGCAGTGTTGGTACCGACTTTGTTATATGGCAGCGAAACCTGGGTATGCCAGAAGAAGCATAAAAGCAAGTTGAATGCAGTGGAGATGCGATCTCTTCGTAAAATGTGTGGCGTTACCATAGCCGACCGAAAGCGAAACTGAAGAGATTCGCAATATGGCAGGATTGAAAGATGACCTTATCACAAAAATTGATAGGGGCGTACTCCAATGGTTTGGGCACGTTGAACGAATGAGTGAAGACCGAATGGTGAAGAAAATATATGGAGCGAAAGAAAATATTAAAAGGTGTCGAGGTAGACCGAGACTAACTTTCGAAGACCAAGTGAGCAAATTGCTCGAAGAGGGGAGGGTCAAGAGTACTCGGATACCTAGACGTGCATGTATGAAGAAGTGAATGAACCTGAAAGAAGCGAAAGAGGTATGTAAGGATCGTGACACTTTGCGATCAGTTCTCTCTGGCTACCCCGTTAGGGATTGTGCGTGAAGATAAGTAAAAAAGTAATAAATAATGATTATGTAGGTTATTAAACGTCGGCATGCAGTCAACATCAAAGGAGTGCAACTTCTGTACGTAGTACTATAATTTATTCTGTGTCCGGGTTGTGCCCATAGAACAGGTTTTACTTTTTATCTTATTCTGTATAGCCTTGAATTGGTTGCATACGAAACGTTCAAATTTAATTCGTAGATATTTGTATTTTAAATATAAAATTGTAGCAATAGATACAGTCTCTTATTATTTTTATTATGTTTCTAACGTATTTTAAATATAATGCGGTTAATCTGTATTGCTGTTACACATAAAGTACACATAATAAAAGTAATTTTTTTTAAATATTTATAATGCGTACATAGTATTATGTATTTTTTTTCCTAAATATTCACGTGATAAAGCTGCAAAACTAAAAGTATTAGCTTCCAAATTCAAAGAAAAAAGTATACTTTTAAATTTAGTTTGCTTTACTGTGTATAAAATTGACTTAGTAGTTAGTATACATACTTTACATTGTATTATTTGGGAGAGAAAAATAACGAACTTAAAACAAAAATTAAGATATACAAACATAATTTTACACCCTTATTAGTTCGTGATACACTTGTAACGAAACATTAGTTTACAGAAAAATCCTGAGACATGGCTGACAACATCAAGACACAAGAAACGACAAAGGCAATCGAACAAATGAGAGAATGGGTAAACACACAACCTCATTTACCCAAAGATATAGGTAACTATCCTTTTTAGTGATTTTTTTCAATAGAATTAACAATCACAAACGCGCATCTCAACATACCAACAGTATACAAAATAAAGGTACTGCAGCCCCATCGAGTAAGAATCAATATAACTACATATATACGATAGCTAACTCAGGGTACTGTTAGGTACACTAAGTTTGAATACTTCGTTACCAGTAAACGGCCTTTTGTTTTCGTCACTCGTCACTAAACACAACAGTTTTTGACCCTGGTATCCTGTGCGAATGTGGTTTTTCTTGTCGGGCCCCGACATATTTGTACTGCAGCCATTAATCACTGCGGGGTGAGTCTAACAACGTAGGAGGGGCAGCTGAAAAGTTTTGAGCCTAATGTATTAAAAATGCTGATAGAAAATTATACAAAATTTATTTTTCTATGTAATCCGTCCCTCTACTTCAATGCACTTCTTACATTTGTGATAAAGGGCTTTAAACCTAGTGAAAAAAATATTCGCCATCTTTGCCTTCGAAATGCTCGTCTACCGCTGCCTTCATTTCTTCGTCTCTCAAAAATCTTCGTCCGCGGAGGAGGCTAGGTCTACCCCGCCATGCGGACTTGATAAGTCGACACCATAAGCCACTAAAACCACTTTTTAATGTAAAATAGCAATTAACCGTTTTAAAAAAATTATAATTAGTTCAACAATCACTTATCTTTCTAACAATGTGCTTTTTATATCATTTATATATTAATATGATTGTTAGATATATAGATTGATGAGATGAGATGAGATTATTAATAAGCCTTAGTAATATTTATTGAACAGAAATGAATACAGTTCTTATATGTGGTTATGAATGAATCGGTATTACAATAAGAAAAATTGTGCAAAATTATAAGAAAAATATTTTTGAGAGTTCTTATTAACAAACGTATAATTAGTTTAAATTGATTCCGCTAGATGTCGTTACTAGGTTTTTAAAACGCGGTAACGAAATATTTCCTGACATGTACTTAACTCCCGCCGTTGAGCGCGTCAACTTATAGTGTATACGGTACCTACCTAGGCTGCACTAAAAGTATCGGGAATGGAATATTTCCACGGTTCCTGTCATATTAAAATCTTTTTAATTGATAACTCCTTGGTTTTAAAAATCGAATACCATTTATTTATTTAAAAAAAGATTCTCGGTCTTATCACAAGGTTTTGTCAAACTTGTTTAGTCGTTGAGAAAATGGAATTGACTCGAGAAAATTCAAGAGCGATGATTTATTATGACTTTCGAAGTGGTTTAACACAAAAACAGTGTGTTGACCGGATGATTTCTGCATTTGGTGATGAAGCCCCATCCAAAACCACAATTTATCGCTGGTTTGCTGAATCTCAACGTGGACGTGTCAAGCTCAGTGATGATCCCCGTCAAGGTCGTCCAAAAACTGCAGTCATTCAAGAAAACGTTGATGCTGTGCGTAAGCTGATTGAGGAAGATCGACATGTGACATACCGCGAAATTCAGGCAACTTTAGACATTGGCATGAGTCAAATACAAATAATCTTGCATGAACGATTAGGTGTAAAAACGTTGTTTTCCCCATGGATACCGCATTTGCTCTGTGAAGAGCAAAAAGTGGCTCGCGTTACTTGGTGCGTCAGAACTCGCGAAAGATTCCACGCAGGATCCTCAAATGCTGTATACAACATTGTAGCGTACGAACCCGAAACAAAAAACCAGTCACGAGTTTGGGTGTTCGAAAATGAGTTAAAGCCAACAAAAATTGTTCGTTCACGGAGTGTTGCAAAAAAAATGGTGGCCACGTTTGTCTCCAAAACCGGCCATGTTACGACTATTCCTCTTGAGGGACAAAGAACGGTTAATGCAGAATGGTATACTAGCATTTGTTTGCCGCAGGTCGTTTCTGAACTCCGTAAAGAGAACTGCAACCGCCGCATCATCCTCCATCACGACAATGCGAGTTCTCACACCGCACACAGAACAAAAGAGTTTTTAGAGCAAGAAAACATAGAATTATTAGACCATTCGTCGTACAGCCCCGACCTAAGCCCTAATGATTTCTATAATTTCCCTAAAATAAAGAATAAATTGCGTGGACAGAGATTTTCATCACCCGAAGAAGCTGTGTACGCCTACAAAACGGCCATTTTGGAGACACCAACTTCCGAATGGAATGGTTGCTTCAATGATTGGTCCCATCGTATGGAAAAATGTGTCAAATTTCGCGGAGAATACTTCGAAAAGCAATAAATACATTTTTTAATAGTAATGTACACAACATTACTATCCCACTTCCTTGATTCCCGAAATTTTCACTGCCGCCCTCGTATACGCTTAAATTGTTTCTATTTCGTAGCTTATTCGACTACCTGCTTTCGATTTAGGTTGTTTGTTATTTGCTTTGTGATTTAGTTGAATGGATTTATATTGGCTTTCATTTTCGGATTTGTGTATTTTCTTGGATCGGTTTTGTTGTTTTGGTTGGTATTCCTTTATACATATTTAGACTCTGGCTTTGATTTTGAATTTTGTTTATTTAGAATCGTGAATTGGTTTACGTTGTTTTAGGTTGTTTAACTACATTTCAAAGGAATATTAATAGTATAGATAGTGTATACGGTACCTATACACTTACTTCTTTTTTCGTTGGTTATATTAATATTGACTACTGCTTTCGATTTCGGTTTTCTGCGATTTGTTTTGTGATTTGGTTTAAGTTGATTCGATTTTTTTTGGCTATCGTTTTCGGATTCGTGTTGTGTCTTGAATTGGTTTTGTTGTTTTGATTTTAAAAAATATTTAAAAGGAATATTTATTCCTTTTAGACATTTTGGATTTGCTTTTAAAAAAATATTTAAAAGGAAATTTAATTCCTTTTAGGTATTTTAACGTTTTTTTATAAATAGGGTTTTTGTTACTTCATAATGCCATAAA